GCTGAGCCCTTGAGGGCTTTGTAAGGAACCTGTGTATAGTTCTGTTAGGAGCTGCTAGGGATTATAACTTTGGTTAGACCGATATAGATCAGGAAACTTGCCTGAAGCACAAATAAAATTTAAGGAGGGAATATAAGACCATCTGAATTTTGACTCAAAGCAACTCCCTGCAGCATGAAACCTGCAAGAAATAAAAATGAGGAACAAGCTAAAAGAAAATTTAACAGGCCAGAGGCAGTCTAAGGATACATATTTAAGATGTGCAAAGGGTCTAAAATAGGATAGAAAGGGGCCCTGGGAAGGAAACGGGGCGGTTTGCCTTCCTGGGCAGTGACCCATCCCATCTGTGGGGCATCTCTCTCTTGGGCCTGCTTGCCTCCTTTGGCACTGGCCCATTCGGTCTGAGAAATTTGTCTGTCTCCCTCAGTAAACCTGTGTTCATCTTGTCTCCTTGTCCTTCAATTCTTTGTTGTGATGGGGAGATGTGGACCTCAGTTTTCTCAACCTAACAGTTCCAACACTAACCAGCTATTGTTTTCCTAGGTGACAACCTACCCCGACTGATAGGACATTATGAACCGTAGAGACTGTAGCAGTCAGTGTAACTTGTAATCTCCAGCAACAGTGAGGTTCAGGTTTCAGCAAGGACTCAGAGACTCCAAAGTGTTGGAGTTAGATGAGTCCTTAAAGCAGGTATGATGGGAAACCAAGCGAATGGCATAGTGGTTCCATCCCATGTAGTCGACCATGGTTCAAGTCCTTGACCTGGCAGCTTAACACTCAGGCCAGGCGCATGTATGTGTGCACCCAAATCCTAAAAGAAGAATGGAGGAGAAGGTATTGAGACATGGCCATCCTCCCCTGGGGGTGATTTCTCTTTCTGTCTATCTCTCCAACAACCATATAGCAAAAAAATTTCTTTAAAAAAAAAAAAAAAAGGCAGCTATAATGGAATTTGAGTGTGGTTAAATTAGTCTCCTAGAGATTTATTAAAATCAGGTTCCTGGGCCTAACCCTAGAGAGTTGTGACTTGCTAGGCCCAAGATGGGGCTTATTTAACAAGCTTCCCATGAAATTCTGATAGAGAGAGCCCAGCACTAATTCTCAAAGAGCACTGCCTTAAGTACTATCTAGGCAGGAGCATCTCAACCATTTTTCTAATTAGTATCTCATTCCCATTAAGGAAAAAAATATATATACCTTCCATCAATGGGATGATTCATTGTAATATTGTAACTAGTTCTTTAAAGGATACACACAAACATTGCTGGATTGGTTTGTTCTACAGCAAAAGAAATCTGTTTTAGATCATTAACTTTTTTCTCTAAAAAGGAAGTACTCTATTGATACTAGTCAGGTTATAGTGGAATGCTTTTTGTCTTTGGGCATTTACAAAGCAAAAGTAAAGTTTAATATTACACTTAATATAGCCATTGTTGGGACCAGCAGCTAGCATAATGGCTATGTCACTGGACTCCCACGTAGTCGACCGCGGTTCGAGTCCCGAACCCGGTGGCTTAAACTCACGCCAGGCACATGTGCGTGTGTGCCCAAGATCCCGAGAGGAGAATGGAGGAGAAGGGATTGCGGCGTGGCCATCCCCCCCCAGGGGGTGATTTCTCGCTTTCTGTCTCTGTCTCTCTCAGTCTGTCTGGCGAGCACATGCGCCCTATAGCAAAAAGCTCTCCAAAAATATATAAATATAGGGAACCAGCAGTTAGCGTAATGGCTATGTCGCTGGACTCCCACATAGTCGACTGCGGTTCGTGTCCCGGACCCGGTGGCTTAAAGCTCACGCCAGGCGCGTGTGCGTGCGTGCCCAAGATCCCGAGAGGAGAATGGAGGAGAAGGGATTGCGGCGCGGCCATCCCCCCCCCAGGGGGGGATTTCTCGCTTTCTGTCTCTGTCTCTCTCAGTCTGTCTGGCGAGCACATGCGCCCTATAGCAAAAACCTCTCAAAAAAAAAAAATATATATATATATAGCCATTGTTTCTATGAATATGGTGATCACTTGGTAAATGTGTGTTGAAGTTTCAGGGTTATAAAATACCATAATACTGACTCTTTGCTTGGAGGAAATGAACATAAGAAAGTTACAACCCCCTGTTTTTTGTCATGTTCTTATTGTACACACTGTCTTGGCAAACTTGGCCAAGTTGCAAATAATAGTAAACACAAATAATTACTTTTAACATACAGGAAAATAAGTAGCCTGATAGTAAGTTGGAGAATCCACCCTTGAATGGAAAATTTTGAATGTTTGCTTACTTTATTAAAGGTTATTGTCTTCCCTAAAATAGCATCATATAGCTGCTCCTGAAAAACCTGTTTCCAATATGACCATGAGCTGAATCCTGGACGCCCCCAAACTTGAGGGCAGATTACACTCAGAATACTGAGTCTTGTTAAAAACATTGAATACCAGTGATTTTTTAGTGTGCTTTCATCTCGACTTTTTTTTTTTTTTTTTTTTTTTTTCAAGTTTGTTTTGTATCATAACTTTCAACTCTTTTAATGCAAGTAATTGTATATTTAATAGTTATTATATATTACATTTATAGGATTAAAAGGCATTTTGCAGGGTCAGCAGGTGGTATAATGACTAAGGTGCTAGACTCCCACATGACAATGCAAGTAATTGTATATTTAATAGTTATTATATATTACATTTATAGGATTAAAAGGCATTTTGCAGGGTCAGCAGGTGGTATAATGACTAAGGTGCTAGACTCCCACATGACCAACTGCCGTTTGAGTCCTGGACCCAGTGGTTTGAAAATCACACCAGGACCATGTGCATATGTCCTCAAAATCCTGAGAAAAGAATGGAGAAGAAGGGGTTGCAGTGTGGCCATCTCCCACGGGGTGATTTCTCACTTTACCCCTCACTATCTTTGTCTGTCTCCAGCGAGTGTACATACCATATGGCAAAAACATTAAAAAAAAAAAAAGAAAAAAAAAAAGGCAGTTTACTGAACCTCTTTATAGAGAAATCTTGTTGGGTTTTTAGGATCATCATTTTTATTATTTGTGTATTTTGGCATTTTATTTTACTTTTTTAATTATTTAATTTTATTTATTGTCATTATTTAATTTTATCTTTTTGGAGTTGACCAGAGAGAAGGAAAGTAAGAAAGCAAACTGCCAGGTCTGGGACTTGAACCATGGTCAGCCATGTGGGAGTCCAGCTACCTTAACCATCACATCACATGCCAGCCCCAAGCATATTATTTTATTTTATATGTCTCTTTCCGTCATCATCTCATCTGTTGCATTTTTGGGTTTTTTTTTTTTGTTAGGTGTACCTGAAGGAAATCTTGAGAGAAATTGGTATTCAGAATGTAAAAGGCATCCACAAGAACACATGGGAGCTGAAGCCAGAGTACAGACATTATCAAGGAGAAGAAAAGAGTGACTAAGAAGACTCCGACCCGGCATGCCGCTGGAACAACTGCAGGGTGGTGCTCAGCGCATGGCAGTGCCCTGGAAGGCTGGGCACCGTGTGCTCATGGGGTAAAATGACCGCTACGTTCACTTCTCTCTGTAAATTTTTTAAACCTATGATGCTTGTAAAGTTTCTTAAGTGTTTTTGAGGAGAAAGAAAAATTTATTTATAGACTTAATTTGTATTAAACCAGATTATTCATGATGGGAATAAGGATTGGAGGATTAAGAAGGGTTTTCTTAAAAATTAACTTTTAAAATGTAAAATTAGGACATATTTTCTAAATGAGGACTATCTGCCCTTGCTGTATATCTGAGAAGCCGAGGTGCTGCAGACCCAAAGTGAAGGGTGTAAAGAAAAGAACAGTCAACTACAGAAACTCTCAAGAGGAATAAAAAGCCAGTTTCTCACACTGAATCCGTCAAAGCCTAAAACTGTCCTTTTCTTTAACAAGCGATCACGTTTCACATTCTGATACACTTTAATAAAAGGAGAGCATGGAAGTTTGTGGTGGGAGTCAGTTTTCCTCATCAGCTTGTTTTACCCTAGTGATGTTGATATGAGAAATGGACAGGGACCAGCAGTTAGCGTAATGGCTATCTTGCTGGACTCCCATGTAGTTGACCATGGTTCGAGTCCCTGACCCGATGGCTTAAACTCATGCTGGGTGTGTGTGCGTGCGTGCCCAAGATCCCCAGAGGAGAATGGAAGAGAAGGGATTGCAGTGTGGCCATCCTCCCTGGGAGGTGATTTCTCACTTTCTGTCTCTGTCTCTGTCTTTCTGGCGAGTGCACACGCCCTATAGCGAAAACCTCTCCAAAAAAAATAAAAGAAATGGACAAAATCATGTGACTCCCCCAACCAAATCATGAACTTCTTAAAGATTGGCTTTGCCCCCAGAATTTTCCTGCCCACTCGAAAGGCGTGTATTGATCATCTGATAAATGGTATTGACAAAGAAGGGCTGTAGGAGGTGACTCTGGCGGAAGAGGTTAATGTCAATTCCTGGGACATGAAAATGCTTCTTTATTGGGGCTGGCAAGTGGAGTGGTGGTTACAGGTACTCGATTCCCCACATGGCCTACTGCAGTTCGAGTCCTGGACCTGGCGGCTTGTGTTCTTGCTTTCCCTTTCTGTCTGTGTCTCTCTGGTCAAAATAATAATGACAAATGGAATTAAATAAATAAATTAACTCTTGGGGAGGGAAAAGAAAGAAAGAAAATGCTTATTTATTTATTTATTTCATCTCTTGGGGGGGAAAAGAAAATGCTTATTTATTTATTTATTTCATGGGAGAGGAGAGAGGTACCCTGGACAGAGTCTCGCCACGACATAACCCTCCCCTAGTCCATGTGGCTTCAGTATCATGCAGTAGTGCTTGAGCCCCTGTGCCACTGTGTGTGGGCCTCTCTCTCTCTCTCTCTCTTTTTTAAAGAGGTTTTTGCCATACGGAATGGGAAAAGAAAATGCTTATTTATTTATTTATTTCATGGGAGAGGAGAGAGGTACCCTGGACAGAGTCTCGCCACGACATAACCCTCCCCTAGTCCATGTGGCTTCAGTATCATGCAGTAGTGCTTGAGCCCCTGTGCCACTGTGTGTGGGCCTCTCTCTCTCTCTCTCTCTTTTTTAAAGAGGTTTTTGCCATACGGAATATGCACTTGCTGGATAGAGACAGAGACAGTGAGGGAGAAGTGAGAAATCACCCCCCGGGGGATGGCCATGCCACAGTCCCCTCTCTGTTCTTCTCCTAGGATCTTGGGCACGCATGTACATGTACCCAGCCTGATTTTCAAGCCCTCAGGTCCAGGACTCAAACTGCAGTCGGCCATGTGTGAGTTCAGCAATGTAACCAGTATACCATCTACTGGCCCCTGGGTCTCTCTTTAATAAAAGAAGTATGAGCTGGATTCATGGTGTGGTGGTGAAGGAAGCCATATTCCTCATGGCAACTGTGCAGTTCAGGTCTTGGACCTGGAGTAAAAACGTTCCAGGTACATGAGCGTGCATGCCCAAAATCCTGAAAGGAGGGAGAGATGAAGGAGCAGGGATTTCAGAAGGGCCATTTCACGTGAGGGATGCCTTCTCCTGTCCGTCCTCTTTGTTTCTCTCTGGTGAGTGCGCGCAACCTCTAGCCAAAAAATAAGATAAAATAAAAGTGATTCGTATATCTGATTAAGGTTTTTTTCCTACCACATATTAGTCAATCTAAAATCATACCCATAAAGAAGACCATCAGAAACATGAAGGTTTAGCAAACTAAGCACAGTGGAAAGATTTTTTTTGTTCTGTTTAGGTTTTTGCCATATGGCACATGTGCTTGTCAGAGACAGTGAGAAAAAAAGTGACAAATCCCCCCTGCCCCCCAAGGGGGGCCAGCCACACTGCAGTCCCTTCTCTGTTCTTTCTGGGATTTTGGGCAGGCATGCATGCACCCTGCATGCACATGCACCCCACATGATTTTCTTTTTAAGAATTATTTTATTTAATTAACTTTCTTTCTTTCTTTTCTTTCTTTTCTTTCTTTTCTTTCTTTCTTTCAATTTGACCAGAGGGGTACAGAGTGAGAGCAAGAGAGGAGAGAGAGAGAGAAAGTGAGAAAGCAAGCCACCAGATCTGGGACTTCAAACTGCAGTCAGCCATGTGGGAGTCCTGCGCTCTTAACCACCACGCCACCTGCTAGCCCCATGAAAAGTTGTTTTTATACCTTACCATTTTATTGGCTGCTTCTTGTTGGAACCAAGAAATAGGAAATCCCAGAAATTTAAGAAAATATTAGATAGTGAATTGAGAGAAAGAGTTGTAGCAGCAGAACACCAGAATTCAGAAGTTGAATGCTACTGCACTAAGACAGTCTTTGCATTCTCACTATAAAATAAATTTCCATTTGAGAAGGGTGGTTCTAAGTTGCCACTCAACCTCGGTTGCCTTATTTTACCTTACTTTGGTGCAGGAAGCAAAGGTGATATAGCCATGACCTTCCAGCTTCTGAGGACTGGAGGCTCAGTGTCAGGAAGCCCCTGGGTAATCGTACAAAAAGCCTATATAGAGCTCAGAATTCTGGACACCTGCCATGTGCTTGGTTCATAGCATGCATTCTCCTCGAACCTTGTCTTTTTGATAAATAGTAGTGCCCCGAATCGATGAGTCTCCTCTGCCCCTGTTTTTCTTTTGTGGTGACAGTTCCTGCTAGATTGAACTTGGAGGCCTGTTACAGTAGTTTCCAGGGAAAAGCTGTTTTTTGAAGCTGTGCTTTGGTATTTTTTAAACCTGATCCTTAAACTTCTTTCAATTATCTTTTACCTCATTACACCTGATTGTGTCTGGTTGGCTCTCATAAACACTTATCTCTTCAGTAAGATAGTTCATCTAAATGGTAGGCTGGTGTCCTTCCTGATTAACGTTTTGAAATTGATTTCTTACTAAAATACGGCTGCTGGACATGGAGGAGACACTGCCTTCCACCGGGTTCTCTGATTCTTTTATTTGCAGGACACTCTTGCGCTCATAAACATGCTTTAGACAGCTAAAGGTCAAGAAGTAGGAATCCTGAGCCCTGTAAAGGCAGTGAGATTGAGAGAAAGGAAGATGCACATCTCTGGTAAGATGTCCCATCGTAAGAGGGCAGGAAGGCCATGTTTAATAGGTGAGACTGTTAAATTCAACTAGCACACACAGTGAGCGGATGTTTTAACTGACAGAATATAAAAAGATTATGGTTGCTGGGCATTGGAAAGATTTGAAATTACATGTTGCCACAGTAACTTCTCAAATGATAAAAAGGAACAGATTTTGCTTTTATTGTATCGTGAACAGGTTGTGTGGATTTCAGCAGAGTTGCAGTAATTCCTAATGGTCTGTGAACAAATTTCTTGGAAGCTTATTTTCATCATTGTTGGTACATATCCATGAAACAATGGTAAACACTTATCAGAGTCTGTCTGTGGTAGTGTGTTAGATGCTCTAAAATATTATCTCATGGCCAGCCCCATAGCACCATAGTTAGGCCTTGGTGTAGGAAAACAAATCCCACGTGCTGTCTGTGCTTCAAGTCCTGGCCCTGCCATGTTTTTCTTTCCTTCTTAGGATTTTTATTTTATTTTATTATTTTAGTTAAGTTTGTTTTGTTTTGTTTTGTTTTTTGTTTTGTTTTACCAGAAAGACAGAGAGAAAAAAGGAAAATGAGAAAGCAAGCCACCAGATTCAGGAATCATACCACAGTCAGCCACGTGGGAGTCCAGCACCTCAGTCACCACGCCACCTGCCCACCCCCCCCCGCCCCACCAGTGTTAAAAAGTTTGTATCTGCTCCAAATCCTGAAGGGATGGAGAAATGGGGGTGGGGGGGGATAGTAGCGTGACCTGTCCCATTGGAGAGTGCTCTCTCTCTATCTCTCTTTCTCTCTCTCTCACTCTCTCTGGTGAGCACACGCACCTTCTTGGAATACAAAAAAATAACAAATTTACAAAAATATTATCTCAATCCTTAGAAACAATGCAGAGTAGTAGGTGGTGGCCATTTTATGGAACCATTTCCTACCTAACTTACCATCATGGATACTGATCCTTCTTTGTGAGAATTCTATTCATGGGGCAAAGTCAGAGTGTACTTTTCCAGGATTCTTTTCTACCCCAAAGCCCATCCCCAGTCCCACTTCTAATCCAGGAAAACTGAGCTGACCCAGACAAACTTGAGAAGGAATGGAAATTTGACTTTGGCATCCCTACCTGCCCAGACAACCAAATTCACCTACTCACAGAATAAAGACTAAACTTTTGCCGTTAAAGGAAAGATCTGGGTTGGCCCCATAGCCTAGTGGTTAGGAAAGCTAGAGCCCATGTGGCAGGCAGTAGAGTGAATCCTAGCTCCCTGCAGCTTCAGAAACATTCCAGGCACATGTGTGTGCTGCCCAGAATCCCAACAGGTTGGAAGAATGGAGGAGAAGTGGTTGCAGTGTGATCAGACTCCACTGGGGGTGATTTCTCCCTCTCCCTCTCTCTTGGTCTCTCTCTGGCAAGTACATGTACCCTCTAGCAATTTTTTTTAATCAAGTCAAGTTTCTTTCTCTTAAAGTTATGATCCCTTTCACACTTCAGGTATCCCAGTAAAGTATATGGTCCCCTCACAGAGTGGACTCTGTGATTTAGACCTTCATATGAGTTAAGGCCCCCAGTGGAATGTAACAGGGGAGGGATATTGAGCTGAAAGGGGAGCAGCCTTATGCTTACATGTCCCCTGCTGCAGACCAGCTTTCTCTTTCCTTTTTTTTTTTAATTCCCAGTTGATGGTAGATTATTACTTTTTTTTTTTTTTTTTGAGAGAGAGAGAGAGAGATTTTCGCTATAGGGCGTGTGTGCTCACCAGAGAGACATAGAGACAGAAAGCGAGAAATCACCCCCCAGGGGGGATGGTCACGCTGCAATCCCTTCTTCTCCATTCTCCTCTCGGGATCTTGGGCACGCACGCAC